GAACCCAAGCATTTAGAACAGTTGCTGAGTCTTCATTAATTTTTTGTGAATTTTTTCTTCCCCCATAGGAAATAATGGAGCTGTCAGATTTTGACAGCTGTCAAAAGTTGGGGGGGGGAAATTCACCATAAATTAACGAAAAGTCAGATCAAAGCCAAATTAACTTTTGCATCCGTTTTAGAGGGTGCAGAAGCTAATCCAAGCATTTAAAACCATTTTTGACCCTTTTATGACACACTTAATTTTGCAAAAATTGACTTCGCAAAGCCATTGAAATGTATTGAGTCAGCTTCAATACATTCCAATGGAGGAAACATTGTTTCGCTTAGCGATGTTTCCTATGGGTTTTTTCGCTTAACGACGGCAATCCGTTCCAATTGGAACGGATTAACCGGTTTCCAATGCATTCCTATGGGAAATGGTGTTTCGCATAGCGATGGTTTCACATAGCAATGTTTTTTTTGGAACGAATTAACATCGCTATGCGAGGCACCACTGTATTTCAAATTCTCAAACAACAACTGGTTCTCATTTGTTTCCTACTTTTCTACGTACATGTCAGTTATGATTATCAGTAGAGTATGTCAGTTTCCCCCAGATGCTTGCATAGAAACTTTTGACTTATTATTTTTCAGCATCTGCATTTGGAGCATAGACTTGAATGATGGTTATACTGATAGGTTTTCCAGGAAGTCTGACTGGTATTATTCACTCAGACCTTGAATTATAACTCCTTACTGCTTGTGCTATATCTTGCCTCAGTATTAGAGCAACAACAATTCTTTTGTCATTTCCAGAGTAAAACATATTGAAATTGTCTGACTGGAAATGTCCTGTTTCTGTCCACTTTAGTTCACTAAGCACTGCAGTGTTTAAATTTTCAGTTTCTTGTCTGATTGGTTCCAGTTTGCTTACCTTGGTTCATACTTCTTACATTCCATGTTCCAAATGTGTATGTTGTGCAGGATAACTTTTATTTTACTTCTGTGCACTTAAGCCACTCAGCACCCCTTTGGCATTAATCTAGTTGTGTCTTTATTAACAGCTCTATTTGTACTTGCCCTTTCGTCTTTCCCAGTAGCTGATTGAGTGCCTTATGACTTAGGCATCTCATCTTCCAGCATCTTCTTGATTCATATTCAGCAGAGGTTTGCCTTCTGTTGAACATTACTTTGAAAAGTTATCTTGAGCATCACTGCCACTGTCTATCTGTGAAAGATTGTCCTCAGGGACAATGTTCCAGTGTCTATTCCAGGCAGAAAATCAATATTGCACAGAACAGCCCCAAATGGTGACTTCCGAGTAGGACAACCCAAGAGATGTGACGCAATATGCCACAAATACTCCCAGTACCCATTCCGGACAGAAAAATCAATATTGTGTGAAACAGCTCAGAATGTTGATATCTGTGTAGGACAGTCCAACTAAATCTAGCAAGGGCCAGAATGAGAATTCCCTGACACTGGAGTGCCTTGTTGTTTAGTCGTTTAGTTGTGTCCGACTCTTCGTGACCCCATGGAGCAGAGCACACCAGGCCGTCCTGTCTTCCACTGCCTCCCGGAGCTGGGCTAAACTCATGTTGGTCGCTTCAATGACACTGTCCAACCATTTCATCCTCTGTCATCCCCTTCTCCTCTTGACCTCACACTTTCCTAACATCAGGGTCTTTTCCAGGGAGTCTTCTCTTCTCATGAGATGGAGCCTCAGCTTCAGGATCTGTCCTTCCAGTGAGCACTCAGAGTTGATTTCCTTCACAATGGATAGGTTTGATCTCCTTGCAGTCCAGGGGACTCTCAAGAGTCTCCTCCAGCACCACAATTCAAAAGCATCTATTCTTCGGTGGTCAGCCTTATGGTCCAGCTCTCTCTTCCGTACATCACTACAGGAAAAACCATAGCTTTGACTATTCGGACTTTTGTTGGCAAGGTGATGTCTCTGCTTTTTAAGATGCTATCGAGGTTTGTTGTTGCTTTCCTCCCCAGAAGCAGGCGTCTTTTAATTTCGTGGCTGCTGTCACCATCTGCAGTGATCATGAAGCCCAGGAGCCCAGGTGTTGTAGCATTTGTCTGATAATTTTTTCCTTGATCTTTTGGAGTGGAATGTCAATGTTAGTGTGTATGCATGAGAAACAGACCATGTAGGGGAGAAGGATGTCTTGACTTTCTGAGAAGGAATGACATGAATTCTTTTTTACCAAAAATAAAATGAAATAAATAAAAGCCAGCATAAAGAGATAATTGCTGCTGCTTCCACAAAAATGGGATTTTAATTATGACATGTACTCCTGGAGAGCCTAAAGGAGGAGAGGAAAAGGGAAAAAAAGAAGAAAACATACAGAAAACAAACCTCTATGAGGGGGACACAAAAGCAAATGGGCCACCTCTTCTGCAGTGGGTGCAAGGAAAACTTAGTGCCAGTTTCTGAGGGGGAGTCTCTCTGTGTGAAGGTTTTGCTCCCACCCTGGGTGCCAAAATGTCCTTCTGTTCCCTGGCCCATCTTTGAAGTCCTTTGCCTTCTCATCTCCCTACCTTTAACCTCCCTCAGCTTGTTCACTCCCCAGATTCGAAGTGGTGGTAGTGGAGTCAGTGGCAGGAACAGTAGGAAGGCAAGCAGCAGCAACATTGAGGGTAAATGATGACGGGGAATCATGATGATGGCCTATTTCTACAAATGTGTATATCACAGATTACTTGGCTGTTATAAAAGAGGGTCTCCACACACACACACAAAAAAGGTTGGGAACCACTGCTCTATAGGATACAAGATTGATAACAACTTGCAGAGCTGCAAGCCAGAGGCTGATGATGATTTCTGATCTTTATGTTTAGTAGACCTGTGGTTTGTTTGTTGTTGATCTGTTCAGTTGGTTGCTAAGTATATTTATAGTAAAAAAAAGTAGGATACACAAGTCTATAACTTCAGATGACTATACGTAAATAAATGGGTTTTTATTCTTTCTCCTACAAATATTTCAGGCAGTTATTTAGACTTTAAGTGTCAATTAATGAGAAAGGAGTAGACTCTGTGGAAGAAGTAGCTATTCTCCTGTTTGAGTCTCTGTACTTCTACTGTGTAGCATAAAGAAATTTTACCAGAAATTCCAAATTCTGCAACAAAGAAAATGCCTTGTGTACAAATTAACAGTAATCTATAATTACATTACCGCCATTAATCTGAAAACTATTTTGCTGGACCATTTAAATGTCTGTAACAAAAAATAAAGAATAATATGAATAGAAATCCTATGAGATAACATCAGTTTTCTACCATGTTGCAATTGTGGAAAGTTTATGTATCATTCCCTTCTGTAACTGTTATTTTGAATAGACATTGAAAATCTGTGGTATACACTGTGTAATAAGGTAAAGGTAAAGGTTCCCCTTGACAATTTTTTTGTCCAGTCGTGTTTGACTCTAGGGGGCGGTGCTCATCCCCGTTTATAAGCCATAGAGCCAGCGTTTGTCGAAAGACAATCTTCCGTGGTCACATGACCAGTGCGACTTAGACACGGAACACTGTTACCTTCCCACTGAGGTGGTCCCTATTTATCTACTTGCATTTGCATGCTTTCGAACTGCTAGGTTGGCAGGAGCTGGGACAAGCAACGGGCGCTCACTCCGTCGCATGGATTCGATCTTACCACTGCTGGTCTTCTGACCCTGCAGCACAGGCTTCTGTGGGTTAGCCCACAGCGCCACCACATCCCTATACACTGTGTAATAAAGATATTCAAATTTGTACTCTTCTCTTCACATCCATGGAGGATATCTACTCAAAAGCAAGGAAGTCCCATTGCATTTGTTGGAGTGTACTTCAAAGAAAGTCAATATATTATTTGAACAATAATATTATTAAATATAATAATTATGTGAAATGTCTGCTTTCAAAGCCAGTACACCTCAGAACTCCAGTTGCTAGCATAGTGGGAGGAGTATTAAAAGCAAAAGAAAACTGCTCTTGCCTTCATGTTCTGAGAGTGAACTTTGAAGAGCCATCTGACTGGCTATTGTTGGAAATACAATTCTGAATCAGACCAGTCTTTGATCTACCTGAGTGAGGCTCATATGTTTATTATGTGATTCCACAACTTTGAAAGAGAACGCTGTATCTTGCAGAGCTGACTATGGTCCTAGATATTATTAACAAATACAGCAAGAATAAAAATAGTGTCCTGTATACAGTATTTATATGATTAAACGTATAAATCAAAATTTGTTATGAAGTACAGGGAAGTATGCATTTAATACGTAAACAGATAAATGAGAAATATATTGCATCAAAAATACTTCAATTTTGTTTAATGTGCTGGCTTTGATTGTAATTCTATACACTGTTGTTACCAAAAAGTTCCCACCCTTTGCTCCTTTGTAAGATGAGCTACCACCTACTAGACCAGTGGTTCTTAAACTTGGGTTACTCAGGTGTTTTTGAACTGCAACTCCCAGAAACCCCAGCCAGCACAGCTGGTGGTGAAGGCTTCTGGGAGTTGCAGTCCAAAAACACCTGAGTAACCCAAGGTGAAGAACTACTGTACTAGATCATTCTTCACCACCATTACTGCTGATATATGTATTCAGAAATACACAGGTAATTGTACCATAGCTCTGCCAGAACTAATTGAAACTGAAGAAGATTCCAATAAAGACGGCAAAGAGGGCAAGCACTTTTAGCACATATGCAAGGAAACGCTGTGAGTCTGGAACAACCCTGGTTCTTAATGGCTTCAAGGTTCGTTCCCACTGGCCCATGATGGCACTCCTGGCTCCCTCCCACTTCCCTGGCCCACTCAGCCGGTACTGGTAGGAGGAGCAGGGCCCAAAGAAGATCTTTGTGGCTAATGCTGGATCCTTGCAAAGCAACATTGGCACATTTGGCTTTATCCCAATACAAGAGGCAAGTTGATCCATGTACACAAGGCAATCTGTTTTCAGGACCTCATCAAAGGAGAAGCCAAACCTAAAGAATGAATAAATACATAATTAAACAGGGAGAGAGAAAAATTGTTCGATCAAAAAGTGAAATGATTAGTGAGACAGAAGAGATGACACTGAATCTTCTGAATTCCCTGCCAAGGGAAACCTAGGAAGTATATTAGTGAAAACTGTGATTTTAGCTGTTCTGTTAGAAATTTATAGCAATAGCTGTAGTGCGGCTATGCTTGTGTTCAAATAGTTGACTCTTGCTGTATAATAAAGTTCTTACTACATGAGTATTTTGAAAGTACTTATTACTCTGCAGTCTAGTTTAACCTTAGTCCAGCATCCTCTTTCCTTGTTCTCAGGATCCCTTTGCAGTAGAAAAAAACACAGGCTTGGGGTGAGGCGGGATGAAGATGGTTTAGCTTTTCCTGCCAACTTCTCCTTGCTCTTAACACCTCTCACCTCACAAATTACTTCTCTCTCAACAGGGCTCCAGACCAGGAAAGAGGGCACTAGGCTAATGACAGGCATGGTTGCAGCGTAATGGGTGCTTCTTCCGTAAGATGCTGCTGGAGAATCTTATTATTTTCCACAACAGCAATGTATCACCATTCCTCTACAGCACTGGTTCTTAACCTTCTAAGATGCTGCTGGAGAATCTTATTCTTTTCCACAACAGCAATGTATCACTATTCCTCTAAAGCAGTGGTCCCCAACCTTGGGCCTCCAGATGTTCTTGGACTTCAACTCCCAGAAATCCTGGCCAGCAGAGGTGGTGGTGAAGGCTTCTGGGAGTTGTAGTCCAAGAACATCTGGAGGCCCAAGATTGGGGACCACTGCTCTAAAGCATCAGATACACAACTCTTTCCACTCTTTAAAACTGTTTTGTAGCAAGGATGCCACACTTTGTTTCAGATGGTCAACCCCAGAAGAGGTGCTCTTTTGCTATTTTCAATTTCACCTGTGGTGAAAAGCAAGGAAATGAATGCTGTAAATATAGTAACAATATTTTAAAGTCATAAGCCTTAATGGACACAGCACCAAAAATATATTTACTAGTAGTGCTGATTTCTTCTAGAGGATTCAAGAAATCAAAGGGAAATTCAAGCCTAGATTAGGAATGCTGACCAACACAGAAACACATTATCTGACTAGGAGAAAATCAAGAAAAGGTGGAAACAGTATACCGAAAAACTATACAGAAAGAATTAAAAAATGACAGGTTCGTTTGAAAATGACGAAGGTGGAAACAGTATACCGGAAAACTATACAGAAAGAATTTAAAAAATGACAGGTTCGTTTGAAAATGAATCCTACAACAAAGAACCAGCAGAAATAGAAGACGTAGTGAAAGCTTCTCTGAAAGCAATAGGGATAAATAAATCACCAGGGCTGGATGGGATACTGATAGAGCTGTTTTAAGTTGCAAAGACCAAATCTGTCAAAATCCTAACAAGAATATGCCGACAAGTATGGAAGACAAAACAATGGCCCACAGACTGGAAACACTCAATATACATTCCATTTCCCAAGAAAGGAGATGTTAAGCAATGTAGTAATTATAGGACCATTGCTTTAATTTCCCATGCAAGCAAAGTGATGCTGAAGATGTGACAACAAAGGTGTTCACCTTATATGGAGTGAGAAATTACTGATGTTTAACATGGATTCTGAAAAGGAACAGGCACCAGAGATTATGTTGAAAACATCACTTGGCTACTGGAGTGCACCAAAGAATTCCAGAAGATCAGTCTGTGTTTAATAGATTACAGCACTGTATAGATAATGAGAAACGAGTTGTTCTGAAAGAAATGGGTGTGTCCCAGCATTTGATTGTTCTGATGCATAACCAGTATAATGGATAAGAAGCCAATGTTAGGACAGAATATGGAGAGACAGAATTGTTCCCTATAGGCAACAGTGTCAGACAAGGATGCATTTTATCTGTTCAATCTGTACACGGAACATATCATACAGAAAGCCTGATTCGATTCAGATGGAGGAGGAGTGGAAACTGAAGGACGAAACATCAATAATTTAAGATATGCAGGTGACACCATCTTGCTGGCAGAAAGCAGCACTGGCTTGAAATTACTTTTAGCAAAAAACTACCTAACTTTATTACTGGCAATAAAGAAACAGAAATAGTTAAAGACGTTGCATACCTTGGTTCAGTCATAAACCCAAATGGAGACTGTAGCCGAGAACTAAATCAGAAGAAGGCTGAGACTCATAAGGGCAGCAGTGAAGGAATGTAGAAAAGATCAGCAAGTGTTAAGAATGCATCACTGGAGAGAAAGACCAAGATCATCCACACTCATATTTCCAGTCACCATGTGAAAGCTGGACAATAAAGAAAATTGACAGGGAAAAAATTGATTTGTTTGAAATGTGATGCTTTGTTAATACTCTGGATTGCCAGAAAGACTAACAAGCGGGGCTGAACTATCAAGCCTGGACTGTCTCTGGAGGCAAAAATGTTGAAACAGAGGCCATCATACTTTGGGCACATCATGAAAAGGCAGGGTCGTCTGGAAAGGATAATAATGCTGGGAAAGGTGGAAGGCAGCAGCCGGAGAAGAGGAAGACAAAGCACCAGATGGACTGACTCCCTATAGGAGACCACAGGCTTGTAGTTTACAAGAACTGAGCAGGGCTGTTGAGGATACGACATTCTGGAGATTGCTCATTCATAGGGTCTCTATGAGTCGGAGGCAACTCAGTGGCACACAGCAGCAGTGCTCAACGATGTGGATGGCAGCCACAACTGACCCATCAAGCCAGCAGCTTTCTCACCAGCTAATTTGATAATGAATAGGGAAATTGTTTCCTATTTCACAAGGTTGTTGTGATTCACAATAGAGATTGTGAAGTAGTTTTAAAAAATAAAAGCAGTTGCCTAGAAAAGAAACACAATGGGAATAACAATAGAAATACATTCTGGCTGTGTCAAATTACTGGGTATTTTTGCTTTGTTGCTGGGGATGGTCTTACTTGATGCTTGCAGAGTTTTGGTGCCTATTCCCTGCATCTTGTCACTGTACCATTGCTTGGTAATTTAGGGGGAAAAACTCCCATCTAGTCACTTCTGATGTGTGTTCACTATATGAGTTAATGACTCCCAAAACGTCCTGTCATGAACAGCTCAGCTCAGATCTTGCAAACTGACATTTCATATTAGGTTGTTCTCTGTTCCTATTGCTCCCTTCCTCCCAGCAGTATTGTCTTTTTCATTTGCTCAGATTTGCAAATAAACAGTTGTGACTATTTTTTATTGAGTTAACCCATCTCATTTTAGGCTTTCCTCTGTTCCTTCCTCCGCCCCACTTTCTCCGGCAATATAGTGTGTTATGGTCATTTCTGTATTTCTTTATACAGTATGTGCATGGTAGGATAGGCTCAAGTTAATCATTTTTTTCTCTAGTGAGAGCACAAGATTGACAAGATTGAGCACCACTTTTCTAGGGTTATTTGGCCATCATTCACATCTGTCTTTCTTTCACATAGTATGGATGATTTTGATCTTGGTTTCCAGTGACACTTTTTGCTAATTCTTTCTTTCTTTTACAGTGGAACCTCTACATACAAACATTTCAAGATACGAACAGCTCTGGCCACAAACCTTTGCCTCTACTTGCGGCCGGAGCTTCAAGGTGCGAATGGAAAAGGGCAGGGGAAAAGGGCGGGAAATTCAAATTTGCTAACCGTTGGTGGCGAAGAGGCTGCTTCCTTGTAAGTCTTTCGCCCCAACGGTTAGGAAGAGGGAGGCTCAGCCTCCTGGGCTTCCAGCACCGCCACACTCGGTGGGTCTACTCACGAGTAAGCACCACCAAAGAGTGGGTCTACCCATGAGTAAGTGCCACCAAAGTGCAGTTGTACTCGCAAGTAAGTGCCACCAAAGGCGCTGGGCGGGGCTCGTGGACGGTTAGGAAGCCTCCCTCTTCCTAACCGTGCAGCAGTGGCACAGGAGGAGGAAGGAGAAGGGTAGTCAGGGCAGCTTTGGAAGCCTGGGCAGCCTCCACAGAGGCTTCAGACGGATAAGGTGCTGCTTTTTACTTTTAAAAAAGTTCTTCTGGGTGGGTTTTGGAGGGTAGGTTTGGGCAGTGGGGGGTATGTTTCTGTGTTTTGTTTTTTGGAGATTTTTTTTTTTTGGCAATCCCATGTGGGACTTGCTCCGATGTTTATTTTTGGATTTGTTTGTTTTTGGTGGGTTTTTTATTTGCAGTACAGTACAGCGTTTCTTTCTCAGCTTTACTAACTTGAGGAAAGGATCTGGAAATTGGAACATAGCTTTTCAACTTACGTTCTGTGGGACAGGCATGGCAATGTCAGTTTAACCAAGTGGTTAAGGGATGTGTATGCTTCTCTGTTGTACATGTTGCAGCTATTCACACCTTTGCTTCACCATTTCATTTAGTCTAAAACAGCACTTCAAAATATTTTGGCTTCTCCCAGGAACCATAGCGCAGATCATGTGCTCATCTTCTGGAAACCTCTAGCAATGGGTAATTTTTCATGAGAGAAGTTTCTGTTGGAATTTGTGTGTAGTGTATGTACATTTAAACTCCTGTTTTGTTTTTTTACTAAAACAGTTATTTAAACTCCTGTTTTTTTTTACAAAAACAGTTAACCATTTATCTCCCAAACTTAATAAACAAATGTGAATGGTGGTGAGTAGAAGGACATATCCTGTAGACCATCTTGACTGCTGCCATTGGTATTGTCAACATTCAGGTTGCCATGAATGGTTTATGAATGTCAGATATTGTGCCTCTGTACCCATGATCCAGAAAGCCAGGAAATGGTCCGATATTGCTGGACAGTATTATACCCATGTTGCAAGCAGAAAAAGGGACACTGAACTTTACATAGCAAAGGGCAACTTGAATGTTGACAACACCAACGTTTACCTACTGTTTTCTAAAAACCATTTATCTGTTGAAACCATAAGATCTAGGCAGCATGATTTTGTTTCAGATCAGCTGACAACCCGACGGTACCTCCTTCCACCCCTTGATGATTTTGTTCAACTTTTTCCTGGTTACATTAGAAGCCTTACCAGTTGACCTTATTTTGCTTCTGTTTGTTGACCTCTTCCATCATTGTGCTCACTGGAGGCAATTTGCAGAGGCCTAGAAGATAGGAAGAATATCTGAGTGACTCATATTGTGAGGTACTTTAACAAAACAACAACAACACATCAGCTGTTATAGGAACAAATGTCTCAAGGTAGAAAACAATATGTGAGCCTCAAATTCTGCTTGTTGTGGAAGGACACAGGGTATTATTCATACGAGACCTAATAAGTGGGAAATGAGAGGTAACTATTCCAAGGGACATTACTTTGGCAGTCTCTCTCTGGTTTGCTGGGGAAAGCCTCTGGACTAGGGCACGAATTAAATCATCCCTATCCAGGCTGAGTCATTGTTGCACCTGCACAGGTGTTGTGCAGACACAGCACCCGCCTTCCTTGGACAGTCACCCATTCTTTAGAGATTCCTGCCCTGCTACCTTTGAGTGATCAGCTGAGGAGGAAGGCGCAAGAAGAGGATGCTGAGTGGACTATCATGCTGGGGAGTGGGGAGGGAAGCACACATCAACTGAGGAATGGGTGAGCATGCAGGGGAGCGACTGGGCCCAGACAGGAATTACTTAATTCGTGCCCATCTCTATGAGTTTTGACCCTTACCTTCCTTGTAGGTCTGAATTCAAGGAGATGAGGGAAAGAGAGGGAGAGTGCACACATGTTCTCTCCCTCCCTCCCTCTCTCTCACCCTCCCTCCCTCTCTTCCCCATCTCACACTTTGCTCATTGCTGTAAGCTAGGGAGAACGCACAAGTGCACCATGGAATACATAGTACAGTGGACCCTCGACTTACAGACAGCTCGACTCACAGACTTTTTGAGCTGCAAAATTTAGGTTCGACTTGCAGCCAGAATTGACCTACAGACCAGAAAAAAACAAAACAAAATGGAACAAAAACTGCCGGTTACGGATTAATTGGTTTTCAATGCATTGTAGGTCAATGGAGATGCGACCTACAGACTTTTCGACCTGCAGCCACCGTTCCAATACGGATTAATTCCATAAGTAGAGGGTCCACTGTAATCTTGCATTCCTGTTTGTATCAGTAGCAGCTGAGGTACCCAGCAGGAATAGAGTTTATGTGTGAAGTCCTTTGGTCTCCGACACTGTTTCCCTATTGTAGAAGCTCAGAAAGTGTAGGTTCAGTTGCAAAGCAAGCACAAGTGTCATGAAAGGAATTCAGTTTATCACTATGCAATTCATTCCGGAAAGCAAGTAGTGTAATCAGTTCAGGGTCAGAAGCTTTATATGGCAAGGTAAAGTCTCTTTAATGTTTAATGTTAAAAGGCACAGGAGGCAGTGAGCAACTTTGCAATGCCTGTATGCCTGGAAATCCCAGGAACACCACTTTGGCTTCCACCCCTGAAAAAAAATATGAGATAACCTATCACCACCTCAGAGTTATGGATGACTCAAGTCATGCCACTGTGTCCACTCTTCTTGAAAATAACTTTCCAAAGTAGTAATGTCAACAATATGGCCACAGGTGTCACTCTGGCCCAGCTAAGCTGCCAGTTGTTGTATTGCCCTCATCTCCATCTACTATGATGACGCTGAGCTGAGGTGGAGCTGAAATCAGGCCAGCAGCTGCTTCCTCTGGCAGGTTACTGGCACAGAGAAAGTGATGCCTTGTCTTACTGCCAGATCCACTTTGCATAAGACCCTCTTTCATTTTACACGCTTCATTACTATGGCTTTGTCCCCATGGAGTACTTTTGTTTATCCCACCTACCTTTAAAGACACGGGTGGCCCAACGTGCTTGGATTTCCACAACTGGCATGACTGCCCCAAGGGGCCTGAGAAAGCCTATAATGGCAAGTGTGGGTTTTTCCAGCTGAGGGGGAAAGATATATTTGTACAATGAAGCATGCTTATTTTCAACCTTGAGGATCGATTCATCAATGAAAGGAAAAGAAGCCTTGTATCCCGTGGCAAAGACAATGAGGTCCACTTCCTCTGCAACCGGAGTATTTGCAAAGACAACAGCGTTTTCTTTGAACTCCTTCACTTTGGGCCTAATAGTGATCTTCCCACTGATGATGCATGAAGGCAGTTCATCATTTATTATTGGTTCTCTTATCACAGATCTATAGGGGAAGAATAAATGAGATACAGTACTCAGATTAACATGTTGAAAGTCAAAGAGATATAGTTGTCCAGTCAAAGTATTATTATGTAGTTTGGCCTGCACAGTCTCGTTCCTTCTGTGCCATCCATTTTCTCACCACTTTTTCTGACATTATGATCCATCCGATCCTGTTGAGTCCCAGCACCTGGCTTGTTTGCAACAGGGGCTAGACAGATGCCTTTTAGAGAACCTACAAGCAAGCTTAAAAAGCCAGGGACCTCCCCTTTTATCCAGGCACCTGGAGTTCAAGGTAGACCTAGAGACTTCGTTCTTGTGCTCTCAGGGTCAAGAGGTGTTGAGAAACCTGTTCTCCACAAGTCTGCCAAAATGGTTTTCTAAAGCCCCTTAAGTTAGTGGTCTCAATGAAATGCATATGAATTGCATATAGATTATGTGAAGAGGTAATAGTTTTTGCCCATTCTCCTCAATCTGCTTATCATCCTTGACCCTTAGCCATAGTATGCTTAGAAAGCAGAGGGTGGGATGGTCTCTACCCTCCAGACCCTAGTTAATATAAGATGTAATGTGATTATAGAGAATGGTTGCCTGAATATCTTTAACAAAAGGGGTGAGCAACATCTAGAAGAAGTGGCACACATGCCCAATGCTAAATCTTGGAGATTGCTAAATCTCTCTCTTTCTCTCTCTCTCTCTTGCTCTCAAAAGTTAGAAGCAATGGAGAGTTGACAAAGAAATACAAAGACATAAAGGTACTAGATGGGGTGCCCCCCCTCTCAATTACTATTCATTCTTACTCTAGAAATATTAACGGAGCAAATTAGAGATAAAAAGGAAATAAAGGGACTGAAAGTAAGAGGTCATACTTTTAAGCTTCAAGCTTTTGCAGATGATCTAGTTATTATATTGGAAGATCCAATGACTCAGTTGAAGACCTGATGGAGATTTTTGGTGATATGGAAGGAATGAAAATAAAAATTTTTGGTGATAAAGGAATGAAAATAAACCAAAAGAAAACAAAAATACTTGTTAAAAATATGAGAGAACAAGAACAACAGAAGCTAATAGAAAAGACTAACTTTCAAGAAGAAAAGAGTTAGATACTTAGGGATCCAATCACAAAGAAAACAAGTACATTATTTAAAGACAATTATATGAAGTTGATTAAAGGAATACAGATTAGCTTGGAGAGATGGGACAAATAACAGCTATTGCTGATGGGAAACCATTAAAATGAATGTTTTACCTAAAATTCTATTTTTATTTCAGACAATTCCCATAATATTAAAATAGGTTTTTTTCCCAAGAACTTAACAAGATAATTATTAGAATTGTCTGGCAAGGTCAAAAACCAAGAATTAAATCAAAGCAATGCAAGATGCCAAACAATGAGAAGGTTTTGGTCTCCCGGATTGGGTTTTGTACTATAGATCCTGTGTATTAGACTGGATAAAGGAATGGATAACCTTAGAAAATGATAGACTACTCAGTTTGGAAGGACATGATTTGCAGTTCATTTGGCATGGGTTTCTATGGTGCAAAAAAGATAAACAGCAGAAACATTTCAACTTGCATATGATAAGAAGAGCTCTACTAGATCATCCAACAGATTTACCAAAAAACACCAGTCTGGGTATCACCTATAGAGGCCTTTACACAACCTAATCTCATGACAGAAGCAAAACGTCTAAGGTATCAAGATTTATTTAAAAAGGATTGTGAGGTAAGGATATACGTATATATAGACTGGTGGTCCAGAGCACAAGTGGAATCTAGGTACAGAATAGATAAAATAGAGGCTTTTAACCCAGAACAAACTATATTTCATAAACTTCTGCTGGGATCAAAAGATAAAGTAATTAACAAAATGTATGATTATTCATTAGAAGTTAAAATGCAAGATGAGATGGTCAAATAATATATGATTAGGTGGGCACAAAATATAGGACGTAATATTGATACTGATCAGTGTTTTGAAATATGGCAAAATAATTTAAATCTCACAAAATTGGTTAATTTCAAGGATAATACAGTGGTGCCTCGCAAGATGATTGCTTCGCATGACGACAAATTCGCTTTACGATGAGGATTTCGGAGCAATCTGAAACATCGTTTAATGATGTTTCCTATGGGCGATTTTCACTTTACAATGTTAGGGACCTTGCCTCGCAAGATGGTTAAATTTTAGGTCCCTGTTTTTCGCTTTACAATGTTTTTGACAGCTTGGTCTTGCTTCGCTATACGAGTCTTTTAATGGTCTCTGTTTCGTTAAATGGCTGTCTTCGCTTGGGAACCGCGTTTTGCTTAACGATGTTTCCTATGGCAATTTTCGCTTTACGCTGACAATCCGTTCCCATTGGAATGGATTATCAGGTTTTCAATGCATTTCAATG